TATCAAAAATAATGTTGTCTTGGGGTAGAATTCAGCATTACGCTGTAGAACAAAAAAACGGTAAGGATGTTAACTGTGGTAAAGAAAATTACAGGTATTCGTCTTAAACATCTGTTCAAACGTGTGGTGAAGTGTAATATCATGTTTTTCAGTACAATGTACTTGTTTCGTAAGTCTGTCATTAAACACAGAATGTCTAGCTAGCAAGCCTTGTGTCGAGTGTGTGTCTTTGCCCTAGACTCTCATCTTTAATAGGCAGAACCTTGCAGTGAAATTAGCTAACAGCTTCTCCAGTCAGCTCTGACAAATAATGATCACAGTTGGAAAAGTTAGGAAAAGGCAGTAACATTAAGCACGTATCTTCTGAGAGAGCCCCTGAAATGCAGTCTAGATGGAGAGTAACCACAACAAACTTTTATTTAGCCTGATATGTCAGTTTGAGAACCAATCCAGCTGTTTTACTGAAGCAACTTGAGGGAAATCCCTCAAGCTCAAGCATGCAACAGCCTGGGGATTGAACCCACAGCCTCCCTGTTACCGGTCCAGAGCCTTAATCTGCTGCCCCCTTCAAAGCAGATCTTGTATAGCTGAGTGTCCCCGACGAGCCATGTGTGTAGATTATTCCCACAACCAACCTGGCACCTTCTGCTGAGCCCTGTGGTGAGCAAGCCTGCGTCAGCGGAGCTCCTGGGCTGATCCGGACCGTGTGTCTGAGCTGCGTGCGCTGTGCTGCTGCAGCTAGCATTCACTCCAGCTGTGTGGAATGTCAAGTAGGATCTATGAGTCACATCTTTAATGAAAATGCACAAGTTCAGATGTCCCCCCCCCTCCCCTCTCTTGGCATCTCAAAAACAAACCTATTTTGAGGAGCTTGTGTTTGGAGAGGCTGTTTTAGTTTTCAAAATGCCTGGAAGTACAAATACTCCTCCTTTCAATAGGGGCGGATTTGCTGAAATATTAAATCACCAATTTGCTGAGGATGAAGTGTGCCCTAATGGCACAGTAGCAGCTATCGGAGAAGCATTGCGTGTGTGTGAGGCTTTCTAGACAGCCTGTTTGTTCTCTGTGTTTGAACAGCTTTGGAGATCCTGATGTGCTGTCCGCAGTGTTTAATAGAGCTGTAGAAAATGTTATTTAAAAAAATGTTTTGCTGTCGCATTTCGCAAGGGGCTGTCTGAGGACAGGGCTAGCCTGTGTCCCCAGTACGGGAGCTGTTATAATCTGAATTACTTCAGCCTGCCCGAATATATACAGTACATGGGTACAGGCTTGCTTATAGGTGTAACTTACAGTGGACTAGTATCAAGGAAAGTCCTAAACTCTACAATTACTTCTGGCCCGACGAACTGCTGAGACCTTTGAAGAGCTTCAGCTAACACAGGTTCTGTCTCCTTCGTCTGTGCCCTGGTGAGTAGAGTTTTGATGCTCTGGAGTTCAAAGAGTCAGTCATTTTTAGAAAGCAATTCTTAGTAAAATCGCTGATACGGTAGCAATGCTTTCCGAGTTAGACTTTTTTTTTTTTCCCGGTGAACAGGATGCAAGGTCCTCACCGGAAAGCTCTGAAAAGTGCGAACCTGAAAGCTCGGAAGTTCTGAATGCGTGAAATAAATTTGCCGGCCGTGTTGCTGAAGCAGAGGTGCTGGGATCTTCTTGAGCTAGGTTTTACACTGTGGGTGACTGGGATGTATAGGAAAATGTTGGGCTTTGATGGGTTGAAATGGCCAGGTTCTCTGTGGAAGTTGTCTTGTGCATTGAGGCTCTGTTTTCCAAAGTATTCCATTCAGCAGCTCTGGTCTATTTGTTACTTGAGTATAATACACTGAATCTGAAGAGCTGTGCAGACAACAAAGAAGTCTGGGCTTTACACTAAAAATGGCAGTGTTAAGCGAATCTGCACTGCTTCCAACATGCAAGCGTTCTGCTCGCTTAGCTTTTGGACTCAGACACACACCGAAGAAAGCAGTTTGGATTTCCTGGTGCTCTTCTGAGCACGAACTGCGGAGCTGAGCGCACCTCAGTCTGGGCAGGTTCAGCTCCTGTCTGCGGGAACCATCTTTTTTTCTTTTCTAGTTTCTGTTGAATTTGAAGATTGCATTTTCTGCCATTTTGCTATTGCTGCAGCCTTCATTCTGCCCCTTTATACCGTGTGCAATGCAGTGGTCGAGAAAAAAAAAAACGGCAAATAAGATCAGACTGCTACATAGTCACACGTGCAGGTTGTTATTTTAAAATGAGTGCAATTGCCAATCAGGGAATCATGACCCTGTGCATAAAAGCATGTTTCGCTCTCTAACAGATGGGGAAAAGCCAACACTGGCACAGATAGAGCCCAGATCTGAAAGTGTGACTGTGGATGTGATTGAATTTAGAAATAGTTTTAGACAATTTCAAGAACTGGTAAAAATGCCCCTATGCCATGCAGCACACTGCAGTCAACCCCTGATTTCCATCCCTCGGTTTATAAACTCATCATACAGGCTGTATTTAGTTAAAGTAGCTGCAAATGTAAAATGAATTTGACATGAAAATGTACTTACAGTATGTCCTGTCTTTTCACTTTTTAGTAACTCATTCTGATTCTGAGAGCGATCCATGCTTTGATGCAGGAAATGACTGACTTCCTTACAAGTGAATGCACGCTTTTTTTGTTTGGGTTGCCGCGTGCTCTTGTCCGGACAAGCGATCCTTGGCCGGAGAAAGTTTTTGTAATGTACGACAGAGATTTAAAAGTGTGAAAGGCGAGGCCGCTGGGCTTGTGGTCCTCAGCATTGCAGTCCTTCTGTGTTCCCTGCTGGGCAGTGAAACACTCCAATGCTGCCCTGAAGGACATTGGGCAGCAAATTGTCCACCCTTTGGCAGTGAAACGTAACGTGGAATTACGCTAAAGAAGATGGGAGTCAAACCTTGGATGTCCAGATTATTAGGATTTTCTGGAGTGTTATGTGTTTGAGATTTGGATGTCATGGATAAAATTAGCTGGAGTATTCTGAACTGGAGAGGCCAGTTCAGTGGAAAAGCCAATTAGTAGCTTATAGCTGTCCAGTTTCACCACTGACCTACCTCCACAGCCCATTCTCTGTGTTCTATTCACAAACCTTTGCCAAACTACCACCTCTTTCCTAGTAAGCAAAACAACGCAAAGATGATGAAACGTGTCTTTCAGCATTCAGTCATAAACACCAGTAGAACAGCTAAAGGCTTCTTCTTGACTGACATTTAGGAACTTTTTTCTTTTATTCCAAACAAGGGATGTTGAGCAGCACATTGGTAACGTTTTGCCGATATGGCACAGGCAGTGTGAGGCTGGGTTCCAAGCTGGCGGCCGGCGTGGGTGGCTCATGTAGAAGGGTGGGCGGTGTGGAGTGGCAGCTGTTTGAGGAGGAAGTGAGGAATCTTGGAGAAGGAGAACTGGGAGGACTGGGTGTGAAGAAGGCCGCCCTGCT